TGCCCAGACTGCCCCTATCGAGCCAAGCAAAAAGGAAACTTGGGCGTTCATATGCGCAAGCATCATTCAGCGCAGGAGTTTTGCACCAAAAATTGCTTTTCTTTTGAGGATGTTGCCATTAACAACAACAACTACAGCAGTACTAATAATAACTTAAGCGCAGAAGAGCCATTATAATTTTTTTATTGTATATTTAGCAAAAACTTTCAGTATAGACGGTGTTTGATGAAGATTTGCATCTATGGCCAGTCAGTGAGTGGAACAAGGCGCAAGCATAACTGGTTGAATTAGAAAGAGACGCCAGCTCAACTGTGTGTACTCGCTTGGTCTCTTTCCAACATGTTGCCATTAGGGGCTTTGCCTTGTTCCTCTCATTGTTTGCGCCATTTGCCACTGAAAGTCAGTATTGAAAAACCCAGTGATAAAATAATATTGCAGAACAAATTCGTTGCCAAATGGATATTAGAGAAAACTATTGAGTGCCTTATGCTTCACCCGAAGCTCCAAGTGTGATGTTTATTGTCAATTATCCTGTTATTACTTTTGTTAATTATTTAATTGAAGTTTTTATTTATTTATTTTTGTTAACCTTTATTAAGATAGTTTATTGTGTTATTTAAATCTTGTTGACTTGGTTTCGGATTATACCATTGTTATTCTCGGGTTCTTCACGCAGTTTTGCTTACCCCGTTCCTATCTACCAGTTTTGGCGTTCGGACCATTACCAATTAATTCGCATTGTATTTTAGATTATTTTGCCGGTGAAAAGTGTTCGCATTTGCGAATCAAAATAGTGTGGATGTTCTTATCCTTGGTAAGTTGCTAATGACCTGACCGAGCATTGTTTTGCAGACTTCCAGCTAACAGATGATGGTCGATTTGCTTGTTTGCGTTGTCCGGCCACATATAAATAGAAGCAGCACTTAAAGCAGCATGTACGGTACGAATGTGGAGACTGGCGGTACTTTCAGTGCCCCAAATGCCTCAAAACTTTCCGACAAAAGTCCCACCTCAACCGGCATAGTCATGCCCAAAAATGTACGGATTTGAGACCAAAATCAACATGTTGCTGAAGGCTTTCAATAATTGTATTAAATATTTTACAAATATTGGATTCATTTTCCTTTGCAGATTGTGGAGCCAAAGAGTGAACGCATTTTCTTCTCACTAGAATCAAATTGAGGGTGATTTTCCTACTGATTTAAGACCGAGTTTTTGGTTCTAATCAATTGGAATTCTAGATTTTAGAACTAAGAAAAAAACAGCCAAATCTAAAGCTTTTCGAATTAAGACTTTTTTGGTAAAACTGCCAACATTTCCTAATCGATGCTTTACTTTCCAAAAGGGCCATTTAGTTCTCTTTGCAGTGATGCACAATAAGCATTGTGGCTCAATTGGTTTCCGGGAAATGAGCAAAAACAATTATTGTGTACTAAGTATCAAAATTTGCTTCTTTTTTCAGACACCTAATCATTTTGTAAAAAATATCGAAGATATCGACAAAGGAAACTTTTTGCAGTGTCCTCTTAAAATCCTCTGAAGTTCTGAAGTTCTACTCAGTGAGTGGGACAGGGCGCAAACATAAGTGGCTGGATCAGGAAGAGACTGTGTGACTCGCTTGCTCTCTTTCCAACACTTTGCCCCGTGGGGCTTTGCTTTGTTCCTCTTGCTGTTTGTGCCATTTGCGACTGAAAGTCAGTATTGGAAAACCCAGTGATAAAATAAAATTACAGATCAAATTCGTTGCCAAATTGATTTTAGAGAAAGTATTGAGTGCCTTATGCTTCACTCGAAGCTCCAATTGTGAAGTTTACTGTCTTTGTTACTGTTTTGACTTTATTATCGTCAACCTTTCTAAAGATTTTCTTACACTGACAACATGTTGATTTCGCATTAAGTATACCAATGTTATTCTCGGGTTCTTCACGCAGGTGCGTTTACCCCGTGCCTATCAACCAGTTTTGGCGGGCCGACCATCATCAATTAATCGTCGCACTTTCTTTTAGGTTCTTTCGCCTGTAAAAAGTGTCATCGAAAATACCAGTCAAAATCATCTTTGAACCGGCACCAGACGTACCACTGCGGACAGGAGAAGAAGTTCAAGTGCCATGTTAAATCCTGCGACTACAGGGCGTACCAAAAGGTTCACCTTCTAGGCCATTTGGCTGCGAAACACCAACTAATAGTTCAAGATATAAAAAGCCCGTAAAAGTAGCCTGCGTTTGATTGAGGGGATGCAAATCTGTAGATAGTGACTGTGTGTTTGATACTAACAATGTTTAATCACGCCGACAAACTGCTGATGGCCACTTTTGTGTGATTTTAGTTAAGTGTCCGGTGTGTTCAAAGTTCTACAAGAACAAGAACAGCTTGGCGTTCCATCAGAAGTATGTGTGCAATCGTCCGCCTAGTGTTAAGTGTTCCTTTTGCGATTTCACCACCAAGCGCAACAGCATCTTGAAGGTTCACTGTACCGCCAAGCATGGGAAAAATCATGGAAAATAGATTGTTGTTGTGATTTCATTAAATTTTGAGGCAAAAGTGATCTTGGTGTCCTTAAAGAACCAGCAACAGACGAAGCAAATCCCGCATTTCAGTCTGACAACGTTGTTCAGTGGACTGGGGCCCAATCAGCTAGTTAGTTGTGCTAAAACGGCTTTGTTTAGTTAGTCAGTGTTGCCGCAGTTGGTCGCCGGACAAACCTGGCTAATATAGATGTGATTTTTCAGGAAAACGTGCCAATTCGCACACCTACTTGCCCTGCCATTGCGTCGAGTGTAAGGACTTGAAAAACGTCTCCCGAAGGACCAGTGTGGACATCAAACCCAACCTGATGGTCCTGCAGGAAGACAATTTCCGATGCAAGCACAAAAATTGCGGTTTTTCAACTGACAAACGCGAAGTTCTCATCATGCACATCCTGAACCATGATGACGCTTGCTAGATCCATATCGTATTATACAGGGTGTAGTATTTTTAAGCTGCTGCACATATCAACTGGGATGAACACTTTTGACCGTCTTCAATCAATCCTGGGTTGATCCAACGGGTTTTAGTTCTAATCGAGGCCAAAAACAAACTGATCTCTTAGCTGGTAATCTAGAATAATTCTTTGGTGTTCCTTGTGATTTCATCCTATGCCATTCTATTCTTAACAGGGTACTTGTTTAACCACCTCTGACTGGTTTCGTGGTAGAACACGAATCCTTAATCGACTGTTCTAAATATAAGCAATTAGTGTTTGATACTTTTGTATATTTTTATGGAATTACACTAGATGAGTCTATCAATCGCACTGTTATTGCTTGATCACCACCTGGAAGGCGGCTATTATGGAATCAATCGATATACAGATTAGCAACTCATCTGTGCTAGCCCTAGTTAAAAGTCACTGTTTTTAGCTTTTCTGAAGCCTTGGAAGTGTTGGCAATGCAATAAAGCCTACGGCCTGAGAACTACACTGTACAACCATAAGAAAGAGTGCGGAAAAGAGCCGCAATTTGCCTGTAATATCCCGTTTTGCCATTACAAAACAAAGAGAAAAGGAAACTTGGAAAGACACGTGAAAGACCGACATATCCGTGGGGCATTTGAGCCACAGTATACATTAATTTAGTGTTGGTATGTGTGTAAATGGTTAATACATTTTACTGATTTGAAGAAATGCAGTTGATTATTCGGCCCAAGTAGCGCAATTTTAGCTTGTTGCATCCACTTTTTTTTGCAGTTTTCCATTTTTTTTCAGTTTTACTAGCAGCAAGACTAAAAATGATTTTTTCAGCTCAAGTGATGGTGATGGAACACAGACCGTTTCCGTGTTCTCGCTGCGGCAAGCCGTACAAATCCAAAAAGGCGATGAACACGCATTTGCGGTTTTCCTGCGAAAACAAGCGGCAGTTTTTCTGCAGCGTCTGTCCAGCTGCGTATTTTTACAGCCACCACTTAAAGCGGCACATGCAGCACCAACATTCGAATATTGTGGCTGGATATGCAGGATCGGCGGTTTGTGGCAGCGACACTTTGCAAAGAGAAGTCACCTAGCCAATAGCTTAAGTGTTAAGTGGGGTTTGAGTGAACGCCCAGTATAATCGATACCAAATATATTCTAGTCTGATGTTTTTAGCATAATACTCGTCAAGTGGCAATTTTAATGTTCCCAGTATTAGACTTCTAGAGGATGATGTTGATATAGTCCAATATTTTTATTGTTTGTTTTATTTATTTTTTTTTTATTTATTTTAGCAATCGGCACTTTAGTCAAGTGTCTCTGATCATTTCTAGTCAACTTCCCAATATTGTAATTCGTTAGTCTTCATTTTGTACATTCAGGGTTGCATTTATCAAAGATTATTTAATAAAATGTGTGATTGTGTCCTTTGGTTTTCCTGTACTATCGCAGTTTGCGAAATTTGTGTCGTCATCAAATCTTCAACATTAAATATATTTTTTATTTCATTGGGAAACTTTTCAATGAAACGTTTCCAGGTTTATTACCTGTATTCATTAATACATTATTTCGCAGCTCTTTTGCCTCAAATTGCCTGTTTGCCGTAATAAGCATTGCCTGTTTTGGTGAGTCGCCAACATTGCAGACACACTTCGGCCTTCGGGCACGACACTGGTTTGAGCGCAAAACGCTCTTACTAAGACAATTGTGCCGATAACGACGTTTGTAACTTGCCAAATAATTTAGAATATTTTTTTAAACCCCAGAATGGTCCACTTTTCATCAAGTTTCCCACTCCCATTTGACTGTAGTTACCGGTTCAAGTCCGTAAACTCTCTAAACCAAGCCATTTTTTAGAGTTGGAAATCCGCAGACGTGTCTCCTGCGACCAATGCGGAAAATGCTTCAAGAACTACAACAGTCTGAGGGCTCACACCTCGTTGGACTGCCTCAAGACCCACTGCTTTTCCTGCCTCAAGTGCGAATTCAAGACGAAAAGGAAATTCAATCTCAAAATGCATTACGCGTCCAGGCATGGGATTTCTTTGGAGTAGATTTCAGATGCGGGGACCAAGTGGATGCAGAATTTGATTAAGTGTCTTTCAAGTGCCTTGGAATTAGTGTAGCCATGTTTGAGAGTGATTTATTAACACGTTTTGGTTGGCAGGTAGTGTTTTATTGAATCGTCTTCCGCGACAAGTAGCTGATTGCTTGTTGCTTGATGAGTAACCAGTTTCTGTTCTAGATTTGCCACTTGTAGGCGTTTGAACCTGGACACGTTCCAGGATCTTGCTCAGAAGCAGCTCGGTTGCACCCCCTGCAGGATTTTAATAGAGCTCTTTATTAATGTGTCGAGCCCGCAGTTTGTTGTTGCTTGAGTATAGAGTTGACGCTTCATTTAGAGTGGATTTCTATGATTTTTTTTACTTTCTGTTGCTTGCATGCCCAACAATTCGCCCTCCCCATGGTAAGTGTTGGTTTCAATGTTGTTTCCCTGCAGCTTTTCCCATAGATCCCACAATTCAAATTGGTTGGTTTTAGAGTGGCGAGAAACCTACCATTGCGACACATGCTTCAAGTCGTACAAGAACAAGTCGACTCTCTATCGGCACAAGAAGCACGAGTGCAACAAGAACCCCTATCAGTGCTTCTACTGCGGCAAGTTTTACCGGCAGAAGTACGACCTGAAGATGCACGTCTACAAGAAACACCCGGATGATGTGACTGAGTTTGAAAAGTTCTACAAAAACCTGCATCTGTTCAAAACGCCCGTTTCCAAAGGGGCGGTTAAAGGGCTGATGAGCGGGCCCCCGCAGGGGGAGGGTTTGTAACTGGTGCTAACAAAGGCTTGTCTAGTCAGTGTGTTTGTGTGCATATAGATGTGTTTTGAGGTCTTGAAGCTGCCGGAAAAGGTGTGTGTGATACAAGTCCTCAAGTTTCAACCCAATAAATATCCAAAACCCAATTGTTTTTACTGCCGCAACCCTCAACTCGCTGGAGGTTTGAGGCAGTTTAATAATGCGTTGATTTTGTTGCAGGTTTTCATTGCCTAAACTGCCCCAAACGGTACTCGACCAAAAAAGCGTTGTCCTATCACGTACAGAATGAATGCCAGAAAGAAAAAAAGTTTAAGTGTCTGTTCTGCAACCATCGAAGCAAACGCGCTTTTGACATCAAAGTCCATACCAGCGCAAAACACCACGATCATTTCGTCAAACTGGTGTCCAAAAGGCAGCAATTATACAGTAAAGACTAAGCGCTGCAATTAGACTTGACGGGTTGAAAGGGAGTTTCACTTTCTCCGTATCCCGCCTACCACAGTCTCTAAAGCCGGCGAACTTGCTGCTAATAGTGGACTTTTTTCTAGAATTTCATGGAGTTCACCCGTGTCCAAAGTGCGGAAAATTGTACTCGTACAAGAGCAGTTTGCGGCGACACCAACGATACGAATGCCACAAGGAGGGCAAGCAAGTTTGTAGTTTCTGCAACCGAGTCTTCAAGCATCGGCACAATCTGATGGCCCATATTGCCATGATCCACACTTAAAGTACGAAGTAGATTTTACAGCGGTAATAAAGACGTTATTCTGGTTCAACTGGATTCAATCATCCCCATTTCGACGCTCACACTATTGGCTGGAAGAAAATACACTCCATTTTTACATTAATTTGTTTTTAGACTAACGGATTTAAATGCGACAACTCAACGTCTTTCTGCTGCACACACGTGCAAAACAAAGCGCAAAGAGACCCTGAAAGTGCACCAGCTTACATACCTTTGCTTAAAAGAAACCTCGATTAAAAAGCTTTAAACCCTTTGTTTCTGTTGCTGTCCCAACCTTTCTGCAGACCCGGCCACGGCCAGCTGTTTCAATTTGATCAGTTTTTTAGAGTCAAAATGGAAATGCGAAACATGCCATGTACATTTTCCGTCGCGAAATCAGATGAGAACCCATAAGAGGCTTCACTGTATTGCGACAGTTTGTCCGTTTTGCACCGAACGGTTCAGAAGCAAATACGCGTTTGAAAAGCATGTACAAGATGAGCATCTGCACGAGTCACCGACCAAGTAGGATTTGTTTTTTTTTAGTTATTTTCTAAGTCAGAGAACAAATCTGGCTGAAAAGATTAATAAATTTTATTCTTTACCCCCCCCCCCTTTTTTCTGTTTGGAGTTATTGGAAAAATTATTGGTCCGTTTAGCCACTAAAAATTAACCTTTGATTGCATATTTTCGGACAATCAGAGATCTTCATTTGAATGTTTATTCTTTACTGTTGCTCATTTTTTGAAAAATGCGTAAAGGATTGCCCCAGTTTAGTACCAAGAGCACCAGAAATCATCTCATTTGGTTTTTGTTGCATTGTGGTGGTGCATGAAAGACACGGATACTTTTGCATGTGTTTAAAAAAAAACTAAGAGAAAACAGGAATCCAACTAAAAAGGCAAAGTGGCAATAAGGGAAATAAACCAACTTTGCAGAAGTGGAAGGAAAATTAGTTGGGTGTTGGTTTAGTGTTGGATTAGTTTGGGCAACTGTTTGCACATTTTTCATACCAGAAGTATCTTATTTAATCCTTGTTTAATCGTAATTCTCTCCCTGTTCAGTCACTCTTTTGATAAGTAAAACAATATGGTTTCTGGTACTTCTGGTACGCGATTTGGAGAATTGTATTCACATTTTCAAACAATGAGCAGCAATAAAGAATAAAATGAAATTAATGATTGTTGCGCATTTTTTGAAAAGTGTGAACTCAGTTTCCCAAGTTGAGTACCAAAGCCCAACTCCTTCCCCTTCTAAAAGGTTAGTTTCTTTCCTTTGTTGCGATTTCCCTTTTTAGTTTTATCCCTGCTTTTACTTAGTTTATTTTAAACACATGCAAAATAATCCACGACTCATGCATTCAACTTGACTTGTTTCTAAAAACCTTCTGAGTAGGATGGCGAGCAGAATGTTTCTTCCATCCATGCTTTAAGCAACTATTCAGTTGAAAATTCTCGGCTCTGTTTCTAAAAAATGTTTTTTTGAATTAAGCAAACTTGTTTAATGTTTTTTAGACCAATCCCACAGAAAAGCTGTAAGGACGAGCCTATTCAAACAGACAAAGCCATTGCGGATGTGTTGGAGTCGCCCCAAAATGGCTGATATTTTATACTTTTCTGTAATACATTTATCATTTTAATGTGTGTGTTTATTTCCTTTGCACGCTTGTTTTATATCAGCTTCGCCTAACCACCAGCTTCGGGGGTTCCACATTATTTTCTACTAATAATCACAATGATCGGTATTTCTTAGGCAACAGCTCAGACTGCCGTCACTTTGGAACCACTAATACACATTTCTGGATCATTTGTACATGCCTTATGCCTTGTTTAGGGGAAGTTTTCTTTGTTTATTTATTTTTTTTGTTATTTTTAGTTCACCCACACATTCCGAATTTTATTTTATTCGAGCCGCATGAGTTTATGTGTAGAAATTGCCACAAAATGTACGCGAAAAAGTCGACGATGGTGCGGCACATGAAGTACGAGTGTGGAAAATTGCCCAGATTCGGGTGTTCCAAGTGCGGCTACAGGGGGTACCAAAAAACGCACGTTGAACGCCACTTAGCCCGCAAACACGACATTCTTTATAAGCCGGACATTAACCGGAACATTGTTGTTTTTAATATTTAGCCCATCGATTTTATTGGTTTGTTTTGTTAATTTTTAATATAGTTTATTTAGGGTTATTTTTTTGAAAATTTACTGATTATTTAGTTGTGAATTTTAGCATTTCTGTGTTGGTCAGGGACGATTTAAATCATCTACGAAATCATCTATAGCGATGATTTTAATCGGTTTGGTTTATCACTCTACATTGTGCCTTTTAAGAAAAGACTGAATTCGGGCAACAATAAAAACAGCACAAAGTTTTTTTGACATCAAACTAAAATGGTTTTGGCATCATTTATAGAGAATACGCTTGTTTCAAATTGAACATGCACTATTCCCTGACTATAGAGGCTTCACTTGCGAATAGTGTCAGCTAATGTTCCTACCTTGAGGAACGGAAAAATTGTGCACAGTCAATTTGAAACACCCTGGCAAGCTCTGTCGTGGAGTTTTTTTCGACATGGGTTTATACAAGTAGTTAATTGACTATATATAATTATTTATTATACATAGAGTTATATACTCATTTAGGGGTTGGGAGTTATACACTATTATATGATTCGATTCGAATACACACTGTTAATTAATTTAATTTTACATTATGTTATGGCAACTAAAGTTTGTTAACAAAGAAATATATTATTACAAACAGCCAGCCAGCCAGCTTGGGCATTTCTTTCTTGTGGTCAACAACCGCGCTCGATTAGTGTGGAATAGCCGATTCTAATCAAGTGACTTTTTAGGCTCTGCTAGGCACTTTTCCTGTCCCAGTTGTCTGAAGGGGTACAAGCACCAGCAATCGCTGCACAGGCACAGGAAGTTTGAGTGCGGCAAACAGCCGCTGTTTTACTGCAACATCGAAGGCTGCAGCTTCAGGACGAAAGTCAAGTGCAACTTAAAGCAGCACATTTTTCGACATTTAAAGGGCAAATATTTTGTGCCCTCAGTTTAAGTTGTGTTTTCATGAATTCACCTCGGAGTATTTCCCAGTACTTAATTGGACCTGATTGGCCCAGGGAACACTAGTTCAAAATGAATGGGGAAATTATTTTAAATGTTGCTGAAATGGGGCCTGTAACTGGTTTTTTCAAACTGCGGAATTTTCCAAAATAACTACGACAGTGCTACAGAGCAGGAAATCATGGTAAAAAGTTAAAAACTGACGAGCTAAGAGCGGTTTGTGCGTTAAATTAGGTGTCTGGGCACAACATTGCCATCAAACACTCAACTTGTAACTTTGTCCACCTATAGAAGGGAAATTGCTTTACAAAATAAAGTTTTGCACCTTGCAAATTACAGTGGAAATAAATCAATTTCAAAATCCGGCCTACTTTTGTAGGTGTTGGACGCGCTTAACAGCAGACGCGATTTTGAAAAAAATTGGAAAATTGCTTGATGTCGGCTGAAAATCGAAAGTTTGTCCACTCATACAAGGGATTTTGCTGTATACAACGCATCGAAACTTGGCTGTTTTCCTGTGCAAGTAAGAGGGGAAATACATACCAAACTCGAGTCTGCAAAAAACTTCGTAACAACAATCCGCGACTTCAAAAATATCTTGAGTGAATGAGTGAACACCGAAACGTTTACCACTTGAAGAATAGACTTTTCTCCATACAACACGCGCAAAAGCAACTCGCTGACTAAATTCGCTGGTTTCGAAGTAAATAAGCCCAAAATAAATCTTGGAAACAAAACGCAATTTTGAAAAAGCGAAAAAAATGCTTGATTATGTCTGAAAAGCGAAACTTCCTTCACTTATAGAAAGGACTTTGCATTGCAGAACCGCTTATTTCGGAAAAGTTTCAACATATTGCTGATTTATTTTGGAAAATTCAGCTAATTTCTCAGCAGTTTTTTCTTCATCTGGGAATCCATTGGCCCATTGGGCCGAGGCCAATCAAACACTTTGTACAGTAACTTTACATATTCCTGCCATATTTTGTAGATTTATGCCGCTGTAGCAACTAAGTTTTTTATATATTTCACGGAAATAAACGCCATACTGCGCGATAGTGTTTGTTCTAAGAAATCCAGGTAGGCAGGCGCTTTGGGCAGCTTCAAGCATCTCCTATCCAGCTTAGCATGCTGTGGCAAACAAGGCCTTGACTGGTCCGCCTTTTACTGACACTAATCAATTTTAGGGGCAGACCAGCACGAGTACACCAAAGAGCACGACTATTGTGCAGCCAATCAGCTGCTAGCCAAAGAAGCTACTGTACCTGTGGAAGTCAGCGATGATGAACAGTTCGATCAGATCACTGACGTGACCAACCTGAGGGAGCTGATTGAGGCGATGAGCGTTCCGTCG